TTTGTCAAGAGGATTTTAGTTATCTAAGTTCAATGTGGTCAAACGAAACAATAGAATGACTTTTAGTGTATATTTCTACCTACCAATCTCTATGATGAATAATGTACATGCACAAGATGAGCTTGATTGCTATTAATAAATTCATAGTCCAGGTTTTGGGCGATCATAGTGAGAAAGAGTTGATGAATTTACCGACTCTGATTGAATATATATTCTTAATAAGTTCATAACTCATAGTTTAGTGGGTAGTCCTAATTGAGAATGACAAGATGAACTTACCGTTAGAAAGGTTGAGTTTTATGAAAATTCATAATGAATTCAAATCCAAGAGTTTGGATGGTCCTACTGAGAATGACATATTGAATTCACCGAAACTGATGAAGTTGACTATTTATTCTTAATGATTTCTTATCCCAGAGTATTGGTGGTTAATTTATAAAACTTGCATAAAATCACCATAATATTTGAGAGGTTGAGCTATTTTGGAAGGCTCTTAATTATTTTATAGCCCAATTTAGGGTAGTTTATGTTGAGGTAAACCTAATGAGATAACCTACATAAGTGAGAAGAATTAGCCACCTTCTATGAAAAATGTTGGGTTATTTTTCTAATACACTTACTAGAATCCTTAGGTAATATGGTCAAATATACACTTTTGTATATATATCTTACACATCGAGGACTTCGATGGATGAAGGGGTTAGTTGTGTGTTATGAGTTTACCCTTATCTTAGAAAGTTCAAGACTAGTTTTACTTATCTAAGAGAAGGATTTCTCATTGTCACTATGTACTAGTTCATGATGTGTTCACTAATGCTTAAGCAACTAATTCACTATTGCTCTTCTGAGAAGATTATTTTTCGAGTTTCAGAAGGATTCTATCGCATTAGTGGGGAAATGTTTGTAATGCATAAAACACTATCCCACATTGAGTGGAAATACCACTGGCTTGAGTATTTATAGTGTTCAATCTTCATTCCTTCGTTGAGTAATAAAGAACAAGGCATAATCTTGCGCACTCCCGCCGCTGCCGTCCGTTTGTCTCATCTCATGGTTGTGGTCGTGGTTGAGGCTCTTAGCCTGTGGCAATATGAGTCTCCAATACGTCTGTAAGGATTTTATCTTTTTGGAGAAAATTCGTAAGGATTTTCTTGAGCTTGTCCTGGTTCGATTTAAATTTCAGAGGGTAAAAACTGATTAATTTGTTATTAATATGATTTTTGAAAATTTAAAATTTGAACCTTCAGTTTTTGAAATTATGTCTGTGAAACGTTTGATGTATCTAGACAATATTTACAAACGGTTGAAAATTAAAGGATGAATATGGACTGCTTTGAGGTCAGATTCATTGGTTTACAACAAAAATTTCAGACATAGTTTAAATTCAGAAATTAATCAGATTTATATCTGATTTCATTGTGGATGATTTTACCCCTGAACTAAGTCATTGTGGATGACTTCAGAACTCACTCTCAACTTTCACATATCCTCTAAACCTAAAGCATTTCAAAGCTTATTTTCTCTACTACTATCATAAGAGTAGTACCTCCAGCAGTCCACTCCGATTTCGGGTGTATGAATTCTCAGGGGATGATCCGCCTGTTGCAGCGATTACACACATCATGGCGAATTTGTTTCTAAAGCAGTGGTTTTCACCACGACACGGTTTCAGTTGTTCATTTGTTAACATTTTTTATTTGTCCTGTCAATGCTAGCAATTTCGTTTTTCAGTATTTATTTCCAACAACAATAATAACAATTTTTTACAAAGATCATAATCAAATAGAATTCTTATATGAGAATTCGTGTAGCATTTAAGAGCAAGCTGTCATAGTGGAAAGGTTGGTAAAGTCCTACTATAAGTAAAATGTTGGTAATTAAGCAATTCTTTTAATCAATTCTTCTAAATTTGTTTGCCAAAAATCGCCTCTAATCCTAGATTGTTACCCAGAGCAGAAATCTCTAGTGGGATAGTGTTTTTACCACAATGGATCCAACAAAATTTTTACTACGTTTTATCCATTATTATCCGTGCAACTTTCATTTTCATTTACAAATATAAATTCTACCCCTCTTAAATAGATTATGCTCACCATGTCGTCAAATTGTTGATCAAATCAATGGATTTAGAACAATAATTGGTTGAATTGTGGCTTGCTTGATCCGATAATATGCATAAACTAAGAAATTTCAAACGAATAAAACACCATTTAAAATTGAACCAGTTTTGTATTTCTAAAGAAAAAAAAATTCATATTCAAAAGTTAAAGATTACATTATTAGAGGGACAATGACAATTCCGAATTAATTTACATAAATCATAAAATGAACATAAAAAACATATTGATTTCCATAAAAAATTGAACCAATTTTAATATTTTACTATTTAAACTTTAATTTTAAATTATAAATTCTTTTCATGCATCCAAGTTATCCAAAAGACCAAAACCAATAGTGTCATTTTTATTAAAAAAAAATATAAGGATCTATATCTAAGTTGGGTGTAGTGGTTGTGCTTGGAGGGATTTTATTAAAGATGACTTGTTTAACCGCTTAAATTTCGAAATAAATTAAAAAATTTATATAGTTTCGATTTAAATTCCGTTTAAAGATTAAAAGGTTAAATTTTTTAAAGGCATATAAATTGAATTCATTGAATGATCTCAATGATAAAATAGAATATTGTTTCTTTTAAAAAATACAGAATCAAACAAGTTACATTTGTAGAGTTTATGTGCATCGTAAATAGGCTAATAAAAATTTTGAGCATATACTATCATATAATCACGTCAGTTTATTCAAGAAAAATTATGAATTAAATCTGATAAAATTTGAAAACAAAAAACTTTAACAATTCAAGCCTCTTATTCGACTTTCTAAACATAGGATCCAACTAAAAAAATGAACTCTAACCCTGTGAAAAGGAAGTATTTGGGCTACTGTTTTCCTCTGAAATGGGAGGAAGAAGGTTCATTGAGTGTTCAGGGCAGTATCATGTAGGGTTTGTTCGTAGATGGGTCATCTTCATCTCGGTTCTCCTTCAGAAACTCCTCCTTTACATCAGACTACCTTTACTAATTAAGGCATACCTACGAGATGTCTATAAACCTTTTATCATGGAACGGTGGTTTATTTGGCCTTCCTCTCAATCTTATCGCAGGTTTTACACTTCTTCCCTAACACAGTATTCTAATCATTATTCCATGATCCCTTAATGCCAAGAACTCGAGGTTAAATGGTGCAGAGAAATTAGTGTGGCCTCATAAATCATCGCCCAAGTTCAAATCGATGATCGGATTTATCGATGACCGAGTTGAACTAGACAACAAGATTAAACCCGATGACGCCAAATATAAAGCGTCGATGTGTGCCAAGTTTTCGTACGAGAATGAATGCTACGTTAAAACCAATATCATTGAACATTGGAAGATATTTTCTTTTATAGCATATGTTTGCATTTAAGTCAATTATCAAGCATTTAAGATATAGTATTTTGGAATGAAAATTTAATATATATAGATATAGATATACTAGTCATTAAATTAAAAAAATATCATGTTTTAATTAATTTCTTGTTCAGACCCAAATGTGGCCTGTCTAATCAAGTCCAAGTTGATGGCTCATTTTCACTCTCCAATAGTCTCCACATACCATAAAATGTTAAAAATTAAATTTTTTACGTTAATAATTATATATTTAAATAAATAAATGTATTATTATTATTATTAGTATTATTCATTTTACCGTTTATGTAATCTTCCAAACAATATTATCTCTAACATTTAAATCTAAATTCTATCCTTAGAGTGCAAAATGTTTTATTACTATACTCAATGTTTATTAATCTATTCTCCTAAATTTGTCTCTTGATTTTTAAATTGTCTCACTCAAAATATTTTATTAGAAAAGTCAACAAAAATACTTATATTTTTTTTTATCCTTATATGTCTCACTCTTTTACACTTATCAAAACAAATCTGTCAAATATATCAAAAATCTTGTAGGGGTAATTTTATCATTTTCATTGGCCAAATATATCTCCTAAAATTATATTCATAGTCAATATAAGACACAAATTATGAGATGGAGAGAATATTATTTAATTAAATTCGGATCAAATTAACATGAAATAAAAATTATCATGCCCAAACTTGACTGGACCACTTCGACAGATGAGTTAAATTTACTTAGTTATTTGTATAATCATTTTTATTATAGATGTCAAATTTAAAAACTTTAATCTAAATCATTAAATTCATTTGATCCAAAAAAAAAATATCGAGAAAAATTATATAACTTAAAAATTTTGCCTCCTATAACTAGATCTTATCTCTATATTATATGTGATTATATTTAAATCTCATACCATTCGTATTTTGTTTTCAAATTATGTATAATTTTCTTTTTATAAAAAAATTAAATATCTATAAATCATTAATTAAACAACAACAACAATAATTCTTTTTATACTTTAAAAAGATGGTCATTCTCATAATTGGTATCAATAATATGCCACATGAATTAATCGATCAATCCGTTAAATACCAACATTTATTAAAAAAAATATGGATTGTCATTCAACCTTTTACTTCCTTAAATTGGGGAAAAAATGATAATTTAACATTGATTTGCAGATGAAATTCTTGAAGTTCTACGAATTCTGGAACGGTACGTTAAATGCAAGCTTATGATTAAACTCCACATGCACGTTCGTAGGATATAGTAAAAAAAAAAGACATGTTTTCTTTCTTTCTCTTTAATTTCCATTCCCTTTCTCCAAGATATATATACGCTTTTCATTTTCTTTTGTACTATTGATATATTTGAAATCCTAGTCATCTGTTTCACAGATTTCGACGATCGTATCACAACCCAAGCCTTCATGATGCAAGACACAGTCTAACCCAAATTTGATCGTGGTTGCATTCAGAGGCACCGAACCAATGAGTCCCTATGAATTGTGGATGGACATCGATTTTTCCTGGTATGAGCTTAAACACATGGCGAAGACCCACAGTGGTTTTATGAAAGCTCTAGGCTTGCAAAAGAACAAGGGTTTCCCCAAAGATCAACACTCGACTGACAGCCGCCAATACGCTTACTACACTCTCAGACGAAAGCTGAGGGAGGTCTTGCAAGTGAACCCAGAAGCCAGGTTTATACTGACTGGGCATAGCTCGGGTGGGGCAACGGCTATTCTGTTTGCTGCTGTGCTAGTGTTGCACCAGGAGGAATGGTTATTGGAGAGATTGGATGCGGTTTACACCTTTGGGCATCCCAGGGTTGCGGACTCTAAGTTTGGGGAGTTTATAGAGAAGAAGTTGAGCAAATTTGACGTTAAATATTACAGATATGTTTACAACAATGACCATGGGCCTAGGTTACCCTATGATGACAGCATCTTCTTTTTCAAGCATTTTGGAACCTGCATCTTTTTCAACAGACGCTATGAAGGGAATGTAAATCTACTTTTTCTAATTTGAAAAACAACTCCGGGTTTAATTCAATTAGTTTGAGTCCCTACGCTGCAATGCATGATTTTATGCTAGGGAACTAACTTTTAAAATTCTAAGGGCGAAAGAGAATTTCTACCCTTATCTGCAACTAGGTCCATCCCTGTCTGCAACTATTGAACTATATATTTGAATTGCAGGTCTTGGCAGTGGAACCTGATAAGAATTTATACCCTTGGCTATGGACATTTCCAAAGATGATGGATGCAGTTTGGGAGTTTATTATGGTTTCATTCTGCCTTAAAAAAAGGGTCGAGAATACAGGGAAACCTGGCTTATGACATTTGTGAGGATAATAGGATTTGTATTACCTGGAACGTCAAATCATATGCCCCCTGATTATGTCAATTCTACCCGATTGGGAACCTTGCCCCTGGACTAGCTTAAAAGAGACTGAAACATAATTCAATCAATACTCATAATATGAATCACAACAAGGATATATGATGAACATGTATGTACAAACAAGAACAGATTGTGGAAGTATATATGATGAACATGTATGTACAAACAAGAACAGATTGTGAAAGTATATATGATGAACATGTTAACCAGTATCGATAGCATATTTATAGATAAAGATGTAGCAAATGCATTATTTCTTATTGAATTCAGTTAAAGTGTTTCTAAATGATTTGCATCTACTTGTGAGAAAATATGGAAAACAAAGATAACTGATGTTTCAATTTCGATGGCAAACTTTCATTGTAAGAAAAAAACTTGAAAACTTGATTTACATGCATAAATACATACATACAAGAAGTAAAGGATTTTATTAGTCAAATATTCAGGTTGAAGTTCAAGGATTATGAGCTTCAAGGATTGGAGGTAGGGGTGCTTCATTCAAGCAAAACTGCGTTGACACCTAATTAGAAATCAGCATATAAGTTGCTTCCTGTACAATATTCATCTTCCCGATTGGCCTTTGATCCTCACACTGGTAAGAGATAAGAGGAATAATGTAAGCCTAAAACTAACCAAGCAAGGAAATAGATGTAAAACAAGTGAAATCCTCAAACAAACCAAAAAAAAAAAAAATTGAAAAGTAACCGTTCTTCCAAACTGAGTTACCTGCCATTTCATGACTGATTGAACCGGTAAATGATAGATAAGTGAGGCATTAGAATGCATGGAAGGTGAAGCAGCCACTCAATGATCCCATCTGGCAGGTTCTGCGCAATGATATAGCCTTATGCGAGGCCTTTGTTACTTGATGAGCCTGGTTGGCTAACATCAAGTTTCTCATTTCTTCGGCTCTCTTCTGAGCTGATATCAGCTTATTCATTATCTTATCTAGTGATGACCTTCTCTTCTTTTCCAGCTTCATCTGAAATACATTGTTATCAGTCATGATGAAGATAATAAGCTTCATCTGAAATACATTCTCTTTTTCGGTAGTTTTATCTTAACAAACCATACTCAAATTAAAACACAAATAGAAGCAAAACACTTTTTCCCGGAGAAAGGGCAGGTAACGCATTCTACAGAATTTTATTTCATCAAGTTACTACACGATAACTTCAACAAAGTAAAGGGAAGAAATATTAAAAGCATATGCTGGAAAGATTTTTATTTTTACTGTATCAAGAATGATAATTGTAGGTTATGCAATAGATAAGGATAATTAATTAGTATTTTAATATAACACTAACTCTTAGAAAGTTAGATAAAGATAACTACTAAGTAGTTTAGTTTAAATTAACTCTTAGAAAGTTAGATAAGGATAAATACTAAGTAGTTTATTTTAAACTAAATACTTGTTCTCACCTACTATATATACATATTAAACTTGTAATATATTGTTACTTGAATATACGACAGTGAAGTTTTTCACTTTTTCTTACCTTTGTCATTTAATTTATTTCATCACCCAATTCCTTTTACTTCACTTTACATTAGCCCTATTTTCAACATGGTATCAACTAGATGACCGATCCTTCACCTAAATCTAGCCTATTTTTTTCTTTTTACCCTAAATATAGCCGTCAATCATGAATTCAGCCACTTCTTCATCGGAGGTCACTTTGAAATTCCTCGTTAATTTGCCCCATTCAAACCTTTCTGATGTTTCTTCAACCTCTATCACCTGTCACCGATTGAATGGTGACAATCATATCGCTTGGTCCCAATCTGTTTGCCTTTATATAACTGGTTGACACAAACAACAATATCTTTTGGAGACCACACCAATTCTAGCTGTGACGGATCCTGAATATTCAACCTGGCTAAGTGAGAATACCATGATTATGTCATGGCTCATCAATTCCATGATTCCTGCTTTGGGGGAAAACTTTCTGCTGTATGAAACATCGGCTGAAATTTGGAGTGCTGCAAAGGCGATGTATTCGAATCTGGAAAATTCTGCTGCTTTATTTGGGATCGAGCGTCAACTTGCCAATCTCAAACAAGGCAACATGACCGTGACTCATTATTTTACTCTAATGTCGCGCCTATGGCAGCAACTTGATTTGTTCGAATCCCATGAATGGAGGTGTGCAGAAGATGCCGCTCTATACAAGAAGATTGTTGAACAGCGCCGGATATTCCAGTTTTCGTCCGGTTTGTATTGGGATCCTGATGAAATCCGAGGATGAGTATTAGGACTCAAACCTCTTCCTTCAATCCGGGAAATATTTTCTGCAATACGACGCGAAGAAAGTAGACCTACCGTTATACTTCCTGATTTGCAGCCCGCTGAAGGGTCTGCATTGCTCACTCACTCTCAAACTACTACTCGGCCAAAGAAAGGGAGACCTTGGTGTGACTATTGTAAGAAGGTTGGCCATCTGTGGGATTCCTGTTGGAAATTACATGGCAAGCCTACTGATGGGAAGTTTTCAAAACAGCATCAACAACGTGATACTCAAGGAAACTGTGTTGTGAATACTGAATTACAAGGAAGTTCATTTACTAAAAAAACAAATGGAAGAGTTGCAACAGGTTTTTAGTTAGATGCACACTCATCCCCAATCAGTACCTACAGGTAGAATTCCTTCTGCTACTTTGGCTAATACATCCACCACTTCTACTTGGATTGTGGATTCTGGTGCAAGTGATCATATGACAGGTGATCTTCGGCTCTTTCACACTTTTCATGCCGACTCATCTATCTCTCATATTCGAACATCTGATGGTTCTCTATCTGGTGTTGCCGGTCATGGATCTATTCGAATAAATCAGGACATTTTATTATCTCATGTTCTTTATGTTCCCAATCTCACTTGCAATCTTATCTCCATTAGCAAGTTGTTTGTCGATTTATGTTGTACCACGAAATTTAACTCTGATTTTTGTGAATTTCAGGATTCCAGCTCGGGGAAAGTGATTTGCAGTGCTAGGCTTTGTGGGGGTCTTTACCTACTTCCAGCAATTTTATTTTCCCACTCATCTACTTCCTTCAATGTTATACAACAATTTCCTTTACTTGAACCTTCAACCGATGTTATGTTATTGCATTTTCGTTTAGGATATCCCAGTTTCTTTTATCTTGCATAATTGTTTCCACATTTTTTTGTCAATAAAAGTCTGAAATCTTTTTCTTGTGATATTTGTCCACTTGCTAAACAAACTAAGAGTGTTTATCTACCTTCTCTATATAAACCATCCAAACCATTTATCATGATCTATATTGATATTTGGGGACCATCTCGAGTTGCATCTTTACATGGGTTTCGGTGGTTTATTTCATTTATTGATGATCACACTTGTACTACCTCAACCTTTCTCATGAAAACCAAATCTGAAGCTTGTGAAATATTTAAACGGATCCATAAGATGGTTGAAACCCAATTTCAGTGTTCAATCCAAATGTTTCATTCTAACAATGGTAGTGAGTATTTTGCCAATGTTTTGGGTTCTTTCTTTCAGGAAACCGGGATTGTTCATCTTACTTCGTGTGTTAATTCTCCTCAACAAAATGGGATTGCTGAGCGAAAAAATAGACATCTTCTTGAGGTTACTCGGTCTCTACTTTTTTCCATAAATGTTCCTAACTATTTTTGGGGGGAAGCCTTTTTAACTGCCACTTATTTGATTAACCATCTCCCTAGTAAACCGTTATAATTTAAGTGTCCGAGAGATGTTTTTCTTCAGTTTTCCCAATTTTAAACCGATGACTTCATTGTTACCCCTTAGAGTTTTTGGTTGTACTGTGTTCGTTCATAACAATGTTCCTTTCAGGTCCAAATTAGATCCTCAAGCATTTCGGTGTGTGTTTCTGGGTTATTCATCGACTCAAAAAGGGCTTTCGATGTTATTATCCTCATACAAAGAAATTCTTTATTACTATGGACGTTACTTTCCTTGAAAAAACATATTTTTTTCCTTAAAACTGCTATTCAGGGGGAGTCATATAATGAATATCAGTTTGTTGACTCACAACAATTGTCACTTGATTTGCAGCCAGATCTTTTTGATCAACCAGCACAGTCAAACCAGTTAAACCAGTCAAATAAGCCTACAAAATTGCTATAGCCAGACCAAACAACACTATCGAACCCAAAAAATGTATCCTTGCCAAACCAGTCCACTGAAACACATTTACCTTGGCATGATCAGCATATCACTTTGACTCAAATACCCCAATTCGAGTTGCAGATTTACAAGAAACGAAAAAAACCAATTTCTAAATCAATCCCTGAACCTAATTCCGAGTCTCCCACACAGCATGGATACTGTCATGAACCAAAACCAAACGAGAATCCTTTGGAGAATGAAGAAGGTAATCTGAGTTCTTCCACAGAATTAAATGCTTTAATTGATGATAATGACTTTTCGATTGCTTAAAAGAAATGAGTAAGAAAATATAGAAATTATCCAATTAAGAGATTTTTTGCATACGGAAAGCTAATGCATTGTTTTAAGAACTTTACAACAAGTGTAGATAGTATTACTATTCCAGATACGGTGGAAGAAGCATTGAAAGATCCCAAGTGGAAAAAGGCAGTAAAAGAGGAATTAAAAGCACTGGAAAATAACAATACTTGGATTATAGTTGATCTTCCGAAAGATAAAAAACCAGTCGGCTGCAAATGGGTATTCACGGTAAAATATAAAGCTGATGGTAGCATTGAAAGATATAAGGCGAGATTAGTGGCGAAAGGATTCACTCAATCTTTTGGAGTTGATTATCATGAAACGTTTGCTCCGGTAGCAAAACTAAACACTATTAGAGTGTTACTGTCATTAGCAGTTAATGAGAGTTGGGTGCTTCATCAGTTAGACGTCAAAAACGCATTTCTAAACGGAAACTTGGAGGAGGAAATATATATGCGAATTCTAC